ATGAGAACAAAAGTATGACAACTTTACATAACACATAGAAATGTTGCAAAAATGACACATAAGATACACAGAAAAGACAATCCATGATGGAAGTTATGTAAAAGGAAACTATCCAGTGAAAACAACACATAGAAATGTTGCAAAAATGACACATAAGATACACAGAAAAGACAATCCATGATGGAAGCTATGTAAAAGGAAACTATCCAGTGAAAACAATGCTCTGATTCCTGAATTCTAGTGCACTACTCTGATAACTTTTTTCCTAAAAGGGCTTCCAGATCCTAAGGTCAAAGGCAGTGGTGAACAGTCAAGAGCAGAAATGTAGTAAAATTGACTCCTACAGATAGCTGGGCGTAGAGGGCAGAGTGGAGACAATGAAGGCAAAAAAAATCACACACTTTAGTTAGTTAGTTAGTTAGTTAGTTAGTTAGTTAGTTAGTTATCAAAGATAACTCAGAAACTCAGATTAACTAAGGTGAGAAGATCAGACTGCTTTCAATGCAAGGTAGAATGTATTATTTACTATTTATTTATTCAGTCTTTATACTGTCCATTAGCCAAAGCTCTCTTGATGGTTTACCATACCATATAAAATACAGTTTTTTTAAAAGAATGTATTAAAGACAAATCTTGGATTATCTTGGCTTACAGAACTACTATCCAGAAAATGTATTACATCAATACATATATGCACACCAACACAAATTCATAATCAGCTTCAAACCCTAGATGAAGATGCAGATTCTTATGTAACCTCTTTAACCTTAACTGTTGTTAACATGGACAATAATAATTTTCTTACCTGCAGTTAAGGTATGAGAATGGAATTTGTTTCCAGACAGAACCACACAATCCTGTGACCAGTTTCCAATCTCTTAACTATGGTGCAGAGATTACTGGCTTAAAATACTGTTTCGTTACAGTGTCACTGTTACGACAGACAAAATGCTATGTACCATGTTAAATTAGGAATATGCTATGAAACTGGATACATGAGTATCTATGAATTCCAAATAAAGATACCGTATTTTTCGCTCTACAAGATGCACTTTTTCCCCCTCAAAAGGGGAAATGTCTGTGCGTCTTATAGAGCGAATGTGTGTGTGCCCGACGCCCGGGATGCTGCCGGCCCGCCTGCACCAAGTGGCACCACCTGGCCGGCACGGGCTCGGTGCGCCCTGCTCCGCCACCCCCCCCCAGTGCAGGTGAGAGCTGTGCCGCTCAGGGGGAGAGGTGTGGAGGAGGAGGAGCCACGGGCTTTAACCCGCCGGCCGCATGGAGAGACGGACTGCTCACCCCCCCCTGCCCGGGAAGACCTGCCACCCCCACGTGGCACCACCTGGCCGGCACACGCTCGGCATGCCCTGCTCCGCCCCCCTCCTCTGGCGCAGGTGAGAGCTGTTAATCACAGGTCGGTGTGTGTTTTCAAATGGCAACCCGTCTTTTAATGAAGCCCATGGGGAAGTGATGGGGAATGTGCCTGTGATTATCAGGAAGCTTTCCATGGATCAGTTATCTGTTAGTTGATCAGACACATTTTTTTTTAGGGTCAGTGGATATTTGAACAGCATTACCTTCATGTATGAAGTTTATTCTTCAAAGGCTACTTAGTCCGCTGTGTGTTTGATTTACCGTACAATATCTCTTTTTTGTCAGAAGTTTTTTTCTATTATTTACTAGTAGGGCACCGTGGACATTACTGGCTTTTTTAGATTTGTTATTGAATTGTCTGCAGCAGCTCTTGTATAACTGGTGTAGATTGTGGATTCCTTCAATAATTCCACTACTAACTAAGAAAGTGATGTCAGTGATTGTGAGCAACAGAGCTTCATAAATTATGACTCTAGTGATGATGAGTTCTATGGGTTCAAGGAAAACTAGAAGAGTACTCGAACTTTAAAGTCTCTCTTTTGTTAATGACCACGATGATGGTTCTTAATGCCACTGTTGACTGCTGTTCACTTTACAAGGTTGAAATACGGTATTACTGCATTCTGTTATAGTTTATTAAATAGTTTAGTAAACCATTTGATTCAGAATTTTTTTTCTTGTTTTCCTCCTCTAAAAACTAGGTGCGTCTTATGGTCAGGTGCATCTTACAGAGCAAAAAATATGGTACCTTATTTACTTATTATTGTAACTCATGCTCCTCCTCTACAAATTCATCTTCCATGGGCACTTTTTACTTCCATGAAATAAATCACACACACGGGAAGAAATAGCAAGGTTCATAGCATTCTTTGTCTCTTTCCTGTACTTTAAAATAAGAGTTTTAATAGTTCTGGCGAACTGAAGTCTGAAGAATCTAAAAACAGCTTTCTGTTCCAATAGCTTCAAGAACTCCTGCAAACAATTAACCCAGTTTTTTCATCCACGTAGCTGGAATTTTAAACCAATGTCATTTCTCTACAAAGAAAGGCATTTCTAGCTTTTGAATTAGTAGCAGTGAGCATCCAAAACATCTGATTACTACCAAAACCCATTAGTTGTCCTTGATAAAAAATAAAATGTAAACATCAACAGGAAAAGTCTAGTGTGCCAACCACTGTTCACACTGAATGCTACCTGCAACTACAGAACATTGGAAGACTGAAAAAACATTTTTGTTTCTAATACTTCCCAGATGAACCTAGAACCTAGACATGAGAGGAAAATGTTAACAAGCAACATGGTATTATGCAAATCAAGAATTTTAAGGGACAGCTTCATTCCGTATAGACTGTCCTGGCTTCTTGCTTACATTACTTTGGCCTACTGAGGCTCATTTAACTATGATGCATTCCCATTCTCAGCTGTGGTACCCACCATGGGTAATGATCTCCTCACTGAGTTCAGGCAGATTTACAGTATGGAGTGTTTCCACATACAACTTAAAACACATCTGCTTCCCTAAGCATCTTCTTTACGGCTAGCTGTTAGTTTCCCTTAATTATTTCAGAAAAAAGTGATCATTTTATTATTGTTTTGTTAATGATTGGTTTTATTACATTACATGATTGTATCTTGTACATCACTTTGTGATTTTTTAAAAATTACAAACAGTATAGAAATCCTCTGAAATAATTAATGACCTAAGAAGAAATAGCTTATTTTCAGCTGAAGTAGAAAGGACAAGCATAATATTTAGATGTGAAAGAAGTGTGGCTTAGGAAAAAACTTGAGAGTTGCAGCATTGCAAGTTTTTGTGTAGGGATACTTTTAGAATTAAGCCCCCATTCTCAAAACTCTGCACACAGTATCAAGACAAGCAGGGTTCTGTTCATCTCAATTGTGTAAAGGCTTTGCAACTTATGTTGGACACAATAGTAACATGGTGGGTAGTTCCCAGGTCCTGGCAGAGCAACTTAAACTGTCAAGGATGGCACTGGGAGTAAAAGAGTTTCATTGGTAAACTGATGCTTTGCATATCACTTTCATTTAGGTTCTTCTTCTCAGAGGAAATGGAACACAGAACATCAGTTTAGTACCAGCAAAAAGGTCACTCTACCAGGCACTGACGAACATGTGCTGCTTCTGCTACCTTCCCCTTCCCCAAGGTAAGAACTTTTAGAAGGAAAGGAAGAAGAGGTGTAGGTGGAGGCCACTGTATGAATGACTTCTGAGCTTTCCACAAGTGCTTGAAGTGAACAGTCACAAGTGGTACATAAAGGCTTGATCCCTTTCAGGGTTAACAAGTAGAATGCTCATATATTCCCAGCTGAAAGGTCCACTTGTGAGCAAATTCCTATATAAAGTGTTTTATAGAGTGTACAACTGGAAATGAATAGCAACAGAGAGATTAATGGCATATCTAACCAGGTTTCTTAGGGATGAGTTAGTGGAGTGATGCTGAATACCTGCATACTGCTGCAATGTACATCCTATCTCCTCAGCCAATAAGGAGCAACAGCACACAGTTGTGCCCTGCAATAACTCAGATAACTAAAGCACTCATTTGGATATTTTTGGTGTAGGTGGAAAAGAGTTTTGAAGCTACATCATGGTCAGCTATTATTTGAGTGCAGGGATGGGTTGCCTTAAGATGGTTATACCAAGAGCTGAGAGAAGTAAAATAGAAAACTGTAAATAAGCAAGTATTAAATTAATAAGCAGAAAATATTTCAACAAATTTGCTATGTGCTTTGAAAGCTGCTTTAAGTAGTTCTATAGTCAGTAAAGGTCAAGAGGCTGTTTAGCCTACTTTTCATTAATCCTGGGAGAATTTCTAGATTTGAAATACTTAGAAGAATCAGTATGTGGTATAAAATGAGCACTGCTCCATGATGAAAAGCTCAGTAATAGGGCAAGCATTTCCCTGCAGTTTAATCTTATGGTTAAGACTCAAAATATTTTTTCTTGTATTTTAAGTTTTAAATTATAAATACTGCACAAAGAAAAGACACGGTATAATTAAGCTATTCATTGCTATAAAAAAGTTTGGTCACACAAGAGCCTGCCAAACATCTACTGCCCCAGCATGTCAGCGTAAGAGAAGTTAACAGAGACTTGCAAACACTAATGAATACCCTGGCTGTGGAAGAAAAAATTATGCTGGTTTCAATCCATTTTGTTAGTTACTGCTTTGCACATTAGAGCAGTGACAGCACCACACAAAAATGTAAGGAGTTGGCAAGTGGGAAGACTAGGAACTATGATGTCAACCACCAAAATGGCCATCCACGCTTCTGAGCAGCATAGCCACAGTAATACTTTGGTTCAGGAATTACACTTTTAGGCACACAGGGCTGTTGGAAACAAATGCAAGTTTAGCTTGGCAACTGCTAAAGTCAAAATTGTCTAGCACCTTGACAAGTTACACCAATAAACAGAAAAATCCAAATTTAGACATGTCCCACAAACTATGTGATGTGATATACTCCCAGATGTTATAGTTACAGCCAAAACTAGTTTCATACAAGACATGAAACAAGCTTATTTGAAGTGCATATCAAAGAAGACCCATGCAGATGTTTGCAATTTATGACATTAGAGATTCAAGACAAAATGCATGGCATTACCTTCATGGCATGAATTTCTTCCAGTAACCTCTGTGCACGTTTATGGTTTTTCAATATTGCATCTTCAGTGCCCCTGAAATAGGAAGGTATTTAATTAACATTGCAGCAGTAAAAATATTATGTTCAGATATTATTGGCTTTTAAATAAGGTTGTAATAGTAATGACAGCATGGAAGTAGGACTTTTTCCTATTTCCAGAATGTAACCTCATACAACAATTCCCTTCTTCCCTCACCACAGGCTATACAAGTCCAACATCATCCGCAGAACTATTCTGTATTGGAGGTACAGCATTCTGAGAACTCTCTCAAACTATACTTCTAACTTTCAGTTTGCTGTTGCTGTTACATGCCATCAAATAATTTCCAACTTAGGACAACCCTATCAATGAATGCCCTCTAAATGCCCTCTAAAATATCCTGTTCTTGAAAACCCTGCTCAGCTCTTGTGCACTGAAATGTAATGCCAAACTCTAGTTTAACATATTACAGGAAATGAGCCCATCAGAATCTTAGTATAAACACTCTGTCCTTCCCTTCCTGTAGCAGAGCTGTGAGGAAAAGACTAGAAACATCTGCATCTCCATTTAGATTAACTTGTTATGTCTGAACCTGGCCAAACTTTGGTTAGTTTAAACCAAAGTCAAACTTTGATAATTTTTTTAAAGAAACCAGCATGTAAACTAACAGTGATTATTTTAAACCAGAAAGTGGATGTTTCCAATCTCCTCCCTGTGGTTGCACAGGGGAAGGAAGGAGTATTTAATATTAAACTGATGGTTTATGTTACATCCAAAGTCATGCATAATTTGTAAATTTAATGGTAGTAATGCTTCTACATAAATTCACTGGAAATTTTAAGTATTATTCTTTCTAGAATATTATACAGTTGCTGATTTAAGAAATGAAGGGGAAAGCAGCCTAGCCTCTGACACTACTGGAAGACTATATTCCCTGCTTCCCAGGAGGCACACAATGGCAAGGGGAAGACCAGATTAATCCTTCCAGCAGCCATAGAAACACTGTCAGAAAGTAGACTCAATTCCAACTGCTAGTTGCCCTGGATTACACAGTTGATCAAAAACACTGTGTCCTTTATCATCAACCAAGCTTTTAGCCTGCTGTGTTTTATGTATGTGCACTTAAATATGGGGAAATCCACCTAACCAGGTAAGATAAATACTGCTTAGATTCTGTGATCCAGTTTGCATGATAGAAACAACCCAGTGAGCATGCTGTCTCCCAACCACTCGTCTACTTCCATGGTGCTAAACAACTCATGGATGTTCTGTTGCTAAGTTTTCCATAGCTTCCAGATCCTGGGGCTACCATTACCTCTGAACCTCTGGTTTTTGGGAGGGAAAAACAACACGAAAGTATAACCCAAGAACAAAATCATGGGATATTTCTTCTTTGAAATGCCAAAGTTCTGCTTTGAACATTGATGGAGAATACATGAGAAGCAGGAGAAAGGCAGGTCTTCTGTAACTTCTGTACAGTGCTTCAAGTGTTTTACAGGCTCATTTCCCAGAACAAAACAATGGCACTGTTGAGAGTGATGAGTTTGAGCTTCCACATGGACTGGTAGCAGAACTCATGTTAATCTTAAAAAATTGATGAGAAGAATGCAGCCGGTATCATCAGGCAGTATGAAGACAGTAAAGGCAATGTGGCATGGAAGCTTGGCTTTCTACTTTCATGCCAGGTGAGCTACTCTTTCAAACTCTGGTTTAGGGGAATAAAATCACAACTTCTATTCCAGATGGTATGAGGAACAGTGAAAAGAGCAATAGACTGTAATCAAACTGTAGCAAGCTAGTTTGTCGAATTGTAGCAAGCTAGCTTTGTCAATGCCAAAAACAAAAAAGTATCAAAAACAGGAAAAAATAAGCTTTTGTGTTAACCTTTGTGATTGCACTGGGAGGAGTGGCACTGAAATTTAGCATGAAAACCATACCAAGGGAAAAAAATGTTAAACTCACTTTTTTGCTTTCAGTTTTGAAATATGTCTTGTAAGTCTGCGAATCGTTAGAACTCTGACCTTCTTTACTTCTTTTCTCATCTTCACAACCTATTTTTTGTGGGGGAAGAGGGAAAGAAAACACATTGAAAGATGCACAATGAAACACAGACTATTGGCAATATATTTGTATTATGCTCTGAGATTAAATGGGTCATTGGCAATATATTTTGCTAGCTGCCTTGTTTAACAAAAGCCTGAAATTAGGTTTCTGTCAAGAATCGAACTGTTTCCAAACAGATGACTAGCAGAAGATGAAACCAGCATGTTGAAAGTTCTGAATGGAAAAAAAGCCATGAAAATGTCAAGACATACCAAGGTAGGCATGTTTCATATTCTTAGGACTGGGGTGAGTTATATGTAAATACAGCTTATTTGTATAAATTGCATGCTGGTGTACCTACTCCACATGGACCTTTCTATGGCTTTCACTGAAGATTTCCTGTGACTACATATATATGTTAATTTAAGATGATGCTAACGTATTATCCAGTTACTTACTCTTCAATAAAAGATAAAAGAAACAATCAGTCTTCTGGTACAATATACTAGTGAAGAGTGAGCTGACAGCGAAGAAACCCCAAGCCCCAATTTTACTTTAGGCACACTCAAAGTGTCCTCAGGCAGCCCAATCTTATCTTATTCTCCCATGTATACAAGAAGCACAGTCCTGCTGGCCTCTACAATGCTGCTATACGGTTTCTGAGATAATATATTCTATAAGAGAGCTAAATGCTTACTGCAGGAAACAACAGTTATGTGGCAATATCTGTATGTTAAAATTACCCTAATTTAGCCCCACTAAGATCAAAGTCTCCCTCCCAAAAACTACCACTGAGACTCAACTTTTTCAGTAAAGAACATGGAATTCCTGAAGACAGTTACAGAAACTAGTCCTTTCCAGTTACTTTCATGTTTCTACTTGCATGTAAAACCTGACAAACTCCTGATGTCAGTTGCTCAAGAAGTCCCTTTTCCCCAGCTTCCCATTCCTCTGAGCAAGCAGGGGGAACTCTACAGTAGTAATAAATGGCCTTCTCAAGCTTGGTATGGCAACCAATTGAGCATCAAATATTGTCAGCTGAGTACTTATTGTCAAATATTCCGGAAGCTAAAGATGCCACTGTGAAGATGGCAGCTTACCTTTTTAATTGCATGATATCCTCATATGTTGATGAGGGCTGTTTTGGGGGACTAAACCTAGAGCACTCAGAGGAAAAAGCTGGCAGGATAGCAAAGCTTTTGCCACCGCTATTAGCCACCTGTTGTAAATGCATCCCTAAGCTGGAATAGGAACAAAAGCAGTCATCAGTAGTAAAAGCCACTCTTTTAGCAGCATTCTTTTAGACGTATAAGCTGGCACAATACGTTTTCCACAGAAAGCCACAGCCCAGGAGATTGCTTTTACTAGCGCTGCATCAACTGCACAAGTGCGGCAGCACTGCTGGACCAGGCACCTTGTCTCACCGCAAGTTAACTATCCTTTTAAAATTAGTACATTCATCAAACCTGTTGCTGATTAAAATAACATGCTGTTATTGTTCTAATAGAATGTTTTAAAACAAACATCATTTCACAACATATTACCGGCCAAACCACCAAATTAATTCATCAAATGGCTAATCCTAGGTCCTTCCTACTCTGTCCAGAATTGGCCCTTCTTCCGTCCGTCCTTCCTATATTTTCTATCCCATCCCCTACAGAACTTCTCGGGGTGGTATTTGATTTATACCCCACCTTATGAAGCAAGAGTCATGAAAGTACTGATGTCTGAATATTTTGTATGAATATTATTGTGATTATTTAATATTTGAGGGAGTGTTTATCTGAAATGTTGATACTGAAGGTGCTGTTTGTTTTAGTGATAGTAAGAAGCAGCATTAGCTTGTATCGAATAATTACCCTGACCATATTTAGGTTAGAAAAAAAAGGAGTGGGGAGCCAGGAAGTGTATTTGGCATGTTTTACTTATAATGATAAACTTTCAAAAAGATAGCTACACTTAGTGGAAATATACTCAAAGCAGAGCAAATATTGATGTAAAAACAGGTACCAAAATCAAAAGCCCTTAAAAAGTTTACTTTTATATCTTGTTTATATCTTGAAACTAATTCATCCTGAATTAGAAATCTAGCCAGGATGACCACTTTATGTTTAACCAACTTCTTCTTACTACCAAACAGGAAACACTGGTTTGTATGAATAGCTTTGCAGAGGCAAATTTAAATAAACCATTCCCGTAATGGCAAGTAGTTGTCCATAAATACCCTTCATGATTGTGCTTGTAAGAAAATATGCACTCTCACACACAACTTCAATAAATAATCACACAAAAAGGTAAATATTTTACTCCAAAGCTCACAAAGCTGTGCTTTTAAATAGCGAAATGAAAATAGAGTTTTTAATATAAAAACTACCTAAACTACATTTGGGATTCCCATAACTTTTTTGGGGTCAGGCTTTAAAGGTTTCCCTCCCGGCTTCAAGGGAACAAGGCTTCAGCTAGAGCCCTCCTCAGCCTGTTACCACCCAGTGCTGACTCTTGCCCAACACAACAAGAGAGGATCAGTTAGGCTGTTCTACCCTGTTCTGCAGGAAGTCCTGCCTGTCCATTCACATTGTTCCTGCCAGACTTCCTGTACCTCTCTTCAATCTGGGGCTTACGTCTGGTGACCCAGGTTTAATTTAAACTTGCCACTATTGTTTCTTGACAAGGAATTGCGTTCTGGATTTTGACAGACACACAGCTGTTAAACAAGTGCTGTTCTTTCCATCACAGAACTTCCACGGCATGAGTAACTATATCAATTGGATTTCTGCCTGTCATGCTTCTATTTCAAGTCACAGAGCCACAGGAAAGAAAATGTCGCAACCCTACAATAAACTGAAGAAAGCAAATCAGCTTTATTCTATGGATGCTTTCACTGATGTGGATGAAAAGCTCACAAGCTATAATAGAAAAAACGACAACCAGGCATATACAAGGCCCACAATTTAAGGATACACAGCAGATCATTACACACTCAAATATATATATTTAACATCCTACCCAATATTTAATTTATTTTTTTCTAGAATGGTACATGTGGAGGGATGCTATATTTTTAGGAACTAACCAAAGGTCAACTGCAACTGCTGGCCGTGAATGTACGAGGAGCTGGTTTAGACCAAAGGCCTTTCTAGTCTGCCACTCTGCTCCCAGGTCTATAGATGATCCACAATCAGGACCTGAACACTGCAGCACCTTCACACTTGTGTTCCCCAGCTACCTGGATTCAAAGGGATGCTGCTTCTTATCCTGGAGAAAATACATGGCTATCATAACTAATATTGCTAGCCTAATATTCCATAAATTTGTCTAAACTCTGTTTAAGGATGCAAGACTGCTGCCATCTCTCTAGAGAAATTCATAGTTTTCATAGCATGATTTTATACACCTCTGTTATATTCCCCCTTACTCAGCAACCCAAATGTTGTAGCTTCTCCTTGGATGGAAGTTGTTCCAGACCCACAAACACGTTGGTTGCCCTCTTTGGAACTTTTACAGTTTTACAATATGTTTTTTTAGGTAAAGTGACAATACATAGTATTGCAGTATTACGAAAGTTTGCATCCATTTTTGTTTTTCTCACTTCCACAAGGAAGCTGCCTCACCCCCTAACTTTCCTGGCCATTAATGCTTCTGGCTGGTGCTGATGGTAGTTAAAATTCAAAACATTAGGGAACTGTGCCCTAAGAAAAACCTTAGCACTGCTGGAAAGCTCTTGGGAGTTTCCTAACCTGTAGAATATATTATAACTGAACTTCTAGTAGCATAGCTAAGTGTTCTGGAGAGATGCGCCTGTCCACCTTTGCTGTGTTGGACTTTCTTGGCAACTTTCATTTGCATATGAATTAAAGTTGATAGCAAAGGAGTCACTTTTTTAATTGGTCCAACAACACTTGCACATCAGGTTGGAGATAAAATTAAGGATTAAATCCATGATCGCTTCCCTTGTGGAAAGTTCTATGACTGTTCTAGATCACTGTGACTTATTGAGAAATGTTACCTCTTTGTCATAAGAATAAGCATTTACCCAGCCTAGGGGGCACTAATTGAAGGGACTCTGTCATGAGCCAAAGTTCCTCCTTTGAACAAGCATCAGCCATGGACTGTATTCCTTACAAATTTCTTTATCATTTCAAAGTACAAATTTCCCAGAATGGATCTCTGAGCAGGCACAGGGTGGTCTGTTGAACCCAATCTAGTGTTAACCTCCAGGAATTCCCTTTGTAAACATGTGTAGGTCCCATCTCCACAAAAGGGACTTTCTGGAGGTGAGCGCTCCTCCTCTCCATGCACTGTTTATTCAGCTGGGCCTCCCAAATCTCGACCTGGCCCATCCTTCCCAATCTCACTGAAACATGTTTCACTTTCCGATTCTGAATTGCCTGGAATACATCCAGCAGTTTATGAGAACAATTGCCCAAGACTGCCATCCTTCTTACTCCCAACACACCCACTGCTATGACACTTTCTCCTTTAGATGCGGGCTTCCAACTTCATTCTCCATCTCAAGATCACCCAGAGTGCGATAGTATGTTCCCAGTAAAATACTTTGGGGACTTGGTATTGTCATTAACAGCAATTCTAACAGTAATTCACTTTCTTTTTGAGCTTGCTCATTTCTTTTGTTTGTTTAAAACATTTGCATGCTGCCCAATTGTGCCACAGCACATTTTAGAGACCAGCCTTGGCACTTCCTTCCCTGTTCTTCCTATAGAGTTTGTATTAAAGACAATATCCCACTGGTTTTTTCCATTTTACCAGCTTTTTATTATGTCCACCATTTTTCTGTTTTCTTTTAAACTAAGCACTTCTAAATCTTTCAGAAACATCAACAGAGAAACAATGAATGTGGTAATTCTCTCTAGGTGTCTTTACTCTCTAGGTGAATTTTCCGCTATGGCTCTTTGGCTACTGTCACCAAATGGGTTCTTCTAGATACATATTTACTGGTACTATTAACTTTCTATTCTCCCTTACTCCTCTTGAGAGGACCCCAAGGTGG